GATCAACACCCCAAAGCTTGACAGTCATTATTACCTCTTCATTGGTCGACATTATATCAACTTTACACAGTTTTGATGCTGTTTTATGTCTGATGATCGTGTTAGATTACATGTGGAAGCATCTGTTGTTTCGGTTTCTTCTTCACTTGTGTTTTTTGGAAATTCTGTACAGAAAATGTGTACTAGTGTCCCCTACAGTATAACAATGAAAACACGGATTCTAGGAACACAAGTATAGCTCAAATATATTTAGACTTTTTCTGAGTAGGCTATAAGTCAAGTATACTTACATGTCATTTTAAGTATCTTTCTGAGAAGTACATAAAGCTCATTTCTGAGAAGTACATAAAAAGTAGACTAAAAGTATACTTTCCTATTTTTTAGTTTAAAAGAAGTATACTAATAGCACACTTGAATAAACTTATTTTTCGTAAAGGATATGCAATTGTGTTTGAACATCTACAAGCCTTTTTATGTGTGGAACTGTCACTTTGTCTTTGCATTATAATTGAGAATATGAAGAACCAATTTTACTCCTGCATGTTAACGTGAACAGGTTAATGAGGTTCAGCAACTTATAGAGAGAATTTCCTTCTGTGTGGAAGAAGTGAAGCTGAGACATAGTGCCATTTTGACAGAAATCAACCCACCGAATTGTGAGTACATTGAGTTTGTCTTTAGTTCTATATGCATTATAGGCACCTATGAAATATTAGGAAATTTAAAACGTTTTCCAGGTTCTATTAACCTCTGTTAATGATTATTGTTCAAAAGGCTTGAGATCAGTTCACTTTTGCTTTGTGTTTCTCTGTACAACATTTTTATGTCTATTCTTATTAACAGATGTGAGAGAGGAACTTGAGCAGTTTAGCAGTGACATCAAGCACACAGCCGATGTAATCAAGGTTAAACTAAAAGGTAATTGAATTCAAATGTTTTGGGGTTTTTTTGGAAAGGGGGGGGGGGGGGAGGAAGAAGGAATGGGACATAGTATTTTTGAAAGGCGTACACGGTGCGATTTTTGCTGTCGTACGAGCTCGCAGGCGAGTTTTTTCTCTCGGGAGAAAATCGCAGATGGTCGCAGCTCGTACCGGGTGAGAAGAATTACGGGCCGATCCGAGACGTTACGAGCACCTCCCGTCCTCCCGATAATTTTCAAACATGTCAAAAAAAATCGGATGCTGTCAGTTTAAATTTGTGGCGTATGTGCAGTTGAACGTGACGATTTGGCATTCCATCTGAAGTTGACCAATCAGAAGATGACAAAAACCAC